AAAACTAGGATTATTGTAAAATACACCGGCTCATGTTTTTTTTAAAGTCAAGAATTAAAAAAAGAGGCTTTCACGCACACAAAAACATGATTCTGTATAATAATAAATTAGTGTAAATAAGAATGAAAATAAATAATTACTATATTTTAAAAAGTTTAATAGTGAACACGGTAGGGATTACTTATTATTGGTTATTAAAAAGATAAATTGATAATTATAGTAATAAATATAATAATAATTATAATAATTACAAATAATTAATAATCTACCCAACGTCGTTTGGAAGTTTAAATTTCAATTTTTAACCTACAGGCTGTCTCTGAAATTTGGGTTGATTATCCTGCAGTCTCTTGTTCTAATGTGGGTTTTTTTCACCTGAGACAATATTATGTTGAATAATATGTGGGATCTCTAAGGACTAAAATGATAGTAATATGTGAATATTGAGCGGTGAATTGTTCTGAACATTGGCTGCTGGTGGAGTGCCTCCTGTGCCTTTTACATGTTGTACGGTACATGTTGTGCTTCCTTTCTCAACAACCAATGAACAAACTTAATCTAGGTTAGAAAATAGATCTATCTTTGGATGTGGCCTTTGCTATTAGCAAAGATAGTACATAACAAGATGGGCCACTTCTCTCTTTGAGCCAATTAAAAAAGTGTCCTCAAAATTCGATGGCGCTATTCCTATTCTTCTTCTGGAAAAACGAAAGAGAGCTTCAAAACAGACTGCAGCGTCATCTGAAGCAAAGAGCATACTTCCTGCGGACACTTTTTTGGCTGAGTGGCCCATCTTGTTATTTACTATCTTTGCTATTAGTAATGGGCCGATACCACAATTTAGATATCAATGTCGATACCTAGTACTTTTTTAAAAGGTATCGATACTGATACCTCGATACCGATACCTCGATACCTAATGCTATTAGTAACATACGCCGGGGGTAATAAGTAAAGACAAAAATACAACTATACTTTTCCAAGTATTTAGGTAATCGTGTCTAGACAAGTTGTGACGATTTAGCTGAGACCAAAGATAGTACATAACAAGATGGGCCACTCAGCCAAAAAAGTGTCCGCCGGAAGTCCGCTCTTCGCTTCAGATGGCGCTGCAGTCTGATTTGAAGCTCTCTTTCGTTTTTCCAGAAAAAGAATAGGAATAGCACCTCTTTGCGTGAGCAGATCACAGAATTCTACACTTATAGAAGCGGAACTCCCTCTTCGCGATCGCCGATTCGCTGTGAGGAATT